CTGTTTCACTGTCTAATGAACTAATGATCATTCTACTATGTGGAGGAGATCCAACAGTCCCTGAGTCAGGAAGTCTCGCTGCTCGATAAACTGTCTCCTGCTCAGTGGTCAGCTCTGGTCTTATCTTATTAGTCATCAGAAAAAGATCTGTGTGTGTTTGACCTGAAGAAATACTCTGCTTCAGAGGAGGCTTTCCTAGCTCTGCCAGTGATTCAAAGCCTCAACAAGGCTGTAAGTATAAAGTTTTCATGATTTAAACACACTGTTTTTGTTATTCTGTTTAGCACAGTTGTGTGCTGTCTAGTTTGATGTAAGATTTATGTGCCAATTAGAAGCTGCACTTAATGTATAAGCTCATTGTGTCATCGGGTTTCTTAGGGTAAACTGGTAACGATTTAGCATGTGTTAAGTTGATGATTTATATAGTCCATGTATAATCAAAAGTTCATGCTGTGCAGTCACATATTATTATTTTCTTGTCCATTGTTGTCTCCTCAGACTTGGTGGATGTAACCTCTCAGACAGAATCTGTGAAACTCTATCCTCACTACTCAGCTCCCGTTCCTCTTGTCTGAGAGAGCTGGACCTGAGTAACAACAACCTGAAAGACTCCGGAGTGAAAGTACTGTCTGGGGGACTTGAGGGTCCACACTCTAAACTGGAAAAACTTAGGTTACGATTCTTCAAATCTTTCATGATATGTGTAAAATTGTTCTAGTTGAGATCCTAGATATTACATATTAAATTATCAGGACTTTCTCACTACTTTCTTTTCATGTGGTCTGTTTAGGATCTTTTTTTTCTCTTTAATTAAAGAAATGACACTCATGAAGCACTTTGAGAGTTCAGGTAGAGTAGACAAGCGCTATCTAAGAACCAGTACATTTACCATTTACCACGTGAGCACCAGTTCAATTTTTTCTAATTGTTTAATAGTTTCTGTCATGTATGCTGTCTGCAGATTGTCAAGTTGCTCAGTCACAGAAGAAGGTTGTAGTGCTCTGACATCAGCACTGAACTCCAACCATTACCACCTGAGAGAGCTCGACCTGAGCTACAATAATCCAGGAGAGGCAGGGGTGAAGATGCTGAAGCAGCTCCGACTGGACACACTCAGGTGTGCAGAGGCTGTTTGCAGCCACAGTGTCTGATAGAGGAAGATGATTTTGAAAGTTTTTCTTACAGTCACACATAAAGTAGCCTTTTTCATTTAGCTCATTACAGGAATTCTACTTGAACGTGAACAAGAAATAAGTGAAGGGTTTGTGAATCTGTAGCTTCGTAGTCTCACGCAGCCTATTTGTCCATATGCTTATGAATATAAATGCGAACCGAATAAGCAGAGGGTATGTTTTGAGGATTCATATGTTCCCCACCACCTCTGGATAACAAGCCATGCCAAGTGTTTTGGGAGGGGTTTGTTTTGTTGTTGTTTTTTTGTTGTTTTTTGTACTGGTTTACTACTTTACAAATGACTAAGCTGCTAATGTTTTATTACTATATTTGGCTGCTTTTAATGATATGGACAAGGAGGATTGAAAGTGGACTGCATTACTTTGAACTGCTATTTCCAAAGAACATGCTTAGGTTGGGCGATATGTAAAAAAAAACTTCCAACCGATGCAGGTGATATATTCACGTATGCAGAGACTTTTTGATGGGCAGAGCAATGTAATGATGCACATATTGATTTGCGCGTTTAGAACACAGATGAAGTCCAAACATGGACAAAGTAATTGCCAAATTGCACACTGGAGGAAAAGGCACAGATAGGAATAGACTGTTACCTCAGTGAAGAGTTGTTTGGTCGAGTGTGTAAAACAGATAAACACTGGAAATGCCTGTAAACACGGTTATAGTGGAAAAAATAAGCCAGTTTCTCTTTGTTTCCTTCCCCACCATAGTGGGTTTTTTTATTTGATAAAATGCTTTTGTTTTTTTG